CCTGGCTTGGGAGCCCCACCCCAGGCTCCCTCTGGATTCCCTTGCTCCCTCCTCATGCCCCTGGTTATCTGTCTCAAACTTTCCCTGCACCCCCCCCCACCCCTACTTGGAACCCCTAGTTCCTTCCCGGTGGGTCCTTCAGCCTTTACCCAGGGCCTTCCATCTCCTTCCCTTCTCACATACTTCCATTCAGGTCTCCAACCTCTCCTAAACTTCAAGTGCCTCCTCTTCCCACCACCATTCACCCTACTTTCCTAGGCCCCTCTTGATCCCCTTACCCCAGCTTTCTGCACCCTTCTGGGCTCTGACTTCCTTACCTCATTGATGTCAGAGCAGTGGGTGCCATTGCCCTGCAGGCCAGGGGGGCAGGGCCCACATCGATAGCCAGGGTACTCATACACTTCCATGCAGTCCACGCCTCGGAAGCAGGGGTTGGGGCTACAGTGGGATCGTTGTTCATGGAAGCCTGGTGGGCAGGCATAGTCAGAGCCATCCAGAGGGCACCATTCCGATCACCACAAAGGGAAGCAGAAGCCATGGGGTGGGGAGCACAGCCATGCCACCTGCAGTCCTGCCCTGCTCTCCCACTCACCGCACACCTGACACTCCATGATGGTGTTTCGGATCAGGGACATTTCCTTCACCTGGCAGAAGGGTAGGGAGGAGTCAGTTTTCAGCATCTGCCACTGCACCCCAGAATCAGTGCCACCCTTCACTGGCCCACCCAAACCTGGTCTCGGATATCATCCCGCAGCTCCACCAGGATCTGGTTGAAGAGGGTGAGTTGGGTGACCAGTGCCTTGGTCTGCTCCCCTGTCAGGGCCCAGGGTATGGAGAGGCTCAGAACTGCAGCAACATCCCTGGCCCCTCCTTGCGGTAAGCCAGCTGCTGCTACCATCGCCCACCCCCCTACCTATAAATCCCACCCTATTCCTGGCTGAAGAGGAAGCTTCAGGCAGCTGCTTGGGGCCTTCTGCCCACCCCTACTCACCTAGGATGGAGTGGAGTGCACTCGTCACTAGAAAAGAGAAGAAAACACAATAGGGATGATAGAGCTATGAAAAGGGCCCAGCTGAAGATGACGAGGAGGAAGAGAGGGGTAGGGACCAGGGACAAGGGTTGGGGACTCAAATAACGATGGTGGGAGAGGGCAGAGATAACAGCAACCAGCACTAGCTCTCCAGTTAGGCAACAGGCCCTTTACGGGAATTGCCTTATGATAGTAGCAGAGGGAGCCACATGAGAGGTGACCCAAATCAGGGCCAAGACCCCAAAACATTCTATTTCCTTTCTGCCAAGATTTTACCCCAAGAGCACTTTCTGTGAAAAATCTGGAAGAAGTGGGTGTCTGACTTAGGAAAGAACCCATGAGTACCGCTAACTGCCACAGAGAAGCTCCTGATAGAAGGCAGCTGCCAATGGGGATTAAAAAAGACAAAGACTTCTATCTCAGCCAAGACCAAGCAATTCACTTTCTCACCCCACCTCAGAGTTACTCTCTTGGATTGTTGTATTTTCCTAGCCACCCTGGTTGGCAGGATGACTTAAGCAGTGACCCACACTTCCTGGGATGGTTGTTTTCAGAGATCTGAGTCAGAGATGAAGGAGATTGGGGGCATTAGGCTTAGAGGCCCACGGAATGGGTGAGGAAAAGGAATGGGTGTTAAGGGGAAGGGAGGTCATGGGAGGGAGGCTACTGCACACCACAGGCAGGATCCTGTGTCCAGGATGTCAGCTAACAAGTCCCCATGTTACCTGCACTGTGGATGGACTCGTCTCCCTGGAACGGACACTCACTCAGGGCTCCGACACGGGCCATGGACCCGCCTAGAATCATCTTCATAGATTCCACAAAGCCCTAGGTGGACAGGAATACTGTACAATGGGAGGAACTACCAACTCTTCCTCCAACTAAAAGCAAAGTATTTCTCTAGAAATGAGTGTCTTGCCTTCATACTCACCTGCATCCTCAAATAAGCCTTCTGTCCGGTCCTAATCTCTAGCCCATCCACCTCTGCTGGAGGAATGGGGGCCAGTGCTGGGAGGCCAGAGTGCTGGTCACCCAGTTTGCAGTCCACATAGAGCTGCAGGGCAGGGCTGGGTCGGGATGGTCCTCGGAGTCGCAGGAGAGCAGTGTGTGTGCGCCCATCGGCCAGGCCTGCTTGCTGTAGGTTCACTGCGTGGACTTTGCCATCCTCCCGCTGGTACCGGACCAGCACTGCCCAGGAGGGGATGTCAATATAGGCACTGTCCCCCACCCCCCATCTCCTACTTGAGCCTTGGATTGATTCTTTTTCTGGATACTACGTCTCTAGGCTACCATTCTTTCTTCAGCTATATATCTCAACAAGTTGTATACAAGAGAGATGCACTAATTTTTTTTTTTTCTAAATTGGTTTAGACTAGAATTTACTCTCCAGTGGCATCAGATCTCCCTATCCCCCCTTACGATGGCAGCTGGTTCTGTACCCGCTGAACTGTCATCCCAGGGATCTGAAGGTCCTCTTTGTGTCACTGCTGGAGATACCCACCTGCCAGGCACCCTCAAGTACAACATCCCACCCCTACAAATTCCAGGCCTCACCCTGCTGTTCAAGCACCTGGCCTCCTGAGGCACCTCCTAAGCACCCCACTACCCCATACCAGGTACCCCTCCCCATGCCTGGGCATAGCCTGATAGAGCCATGGTCCCCAGTGGAGCACAGGAGAATTAAGAGGGACCTGGGAGTGGAGGAGAGGAAGCGTTGCTCAAGGAGTTTACCGCTGCAGGAAAGGAGATGCCCACCAGTCACCTTTGTTGATCTTGCCCACGACAGAGGCCTCCAGCCATCGCGTGTTGTCCTGGCGAGAATAGAGACCAAAGAGGACACCACCCTGCTTGGGGGGCAGGCGGAAGGTGGTCAAGAGATAGATGTCCCCAGCAGTGAGCAGGGCTGTCCGGATCTTCTCCGCCACAGCTACCATCTGCCGAGACTCGCCCATAGTCAGCAGGTCAATCACTGTCAGACAGGAGTTATCAAGGTCAGAGAAAGGGGTCAAATGCTAAGGCCTCCCATCTCTCCTAAAACCTCAGTGTTGGAATGTTCTTCATCACCCCCTCCTACTACCACTAGGCACCATTAATCACCTCACTCAGCCCTTGTGGAGGCATTGGTCTACCACCCTCTGGGGACACACAGGCTTGAGGTTCACTTGGGAATACAGAACCAGTGTCTTTGCAAACTTGAGATGCTTCCACCAGGTGGCGCAAGGGAGTCGCTGTGCTAATCCCAGGCAGGAGTGGCACCTGGTGCCCACAGCAAAGAAGTGGGAAGGCAGATTTCCACTGGAGGATTTGGCTCTTTCCACAGCCCAATACTCCTCCTCCCATCCGAGGGGCTCAGCACACTCAGGATGAGAACAGCTGCCCACTGAGGGCTCCAGCCCTCCCACTAGCTGGGCTCTCCCATGGGGACGTAGGACCCAGCTCTTCTGCCTCCTGTGTACTGGCCAATCTGTGGTTTTCCCTCCAGCTAGTAAAGAATCTGTGTCTGTGTCATCTGCTCCAACTACCTCTTCCACACCCATGGGCCCATCTCACCACCAGACCTCCGGGAGAGAGCCCAGACCTCTTGGTTTCCACCCCCACCCCATCGCTGGGCAGCCAGGAACCAAGGACACAGAAGTCCAGGGTCCCACACAGGGTACCTACCTTAGAGCGGCTCTCTCAAACCTTAGGGTGCCTGGGGATGCTTAGACCCCAACCCAGCCAGGCAACCCCAGCATCCATCTCCAGTGCCCCTGTCCTGGCCTCATACCTGACCCTGGCCAGCTCCCACCCACCTACCACCCTCTAATGCCCATTTCTCCCCCACTGGACCATAATTACACCGACACTAGGCAGGATAACACTCTTTTCTGGCTTAGTTTCAGGTCTCTTCCTCCGTTCCCTGGCCCATACATTTTGGCTACCTGGGCTGGAGGGATCTAAAGTATCAGGGAAGGGTCTAAGGGGAAGGACACAGGCTTACCCTGCAGGTCCTGACTGGCAGATGCGAAAGAGCAAAGGAGGAGAAGAGCCAGGGCCCCCCGAAGTTCCTGTGTCTCCATGCCGCTCAGCCGGCTCACTACCCCTGGCAGGCGGGCGGCTGGGAGGGGAAAAGGCTAGGCGGAGAGAGCCGGAGAGTGGGGCGGAGGGACCGAGGAGAGAGTTGAAGGGGGGGCCGGCAGGCGGGTGAGGGGGGGCTGAAACAAAGAGCTGCCAATCACCCTAGAGGCAACCCCAGCTCCCGGAACTAGGGGCATTGGGATAGCGTCCTGGAGGGCCCTCTGCCTCCTACCCTTCCTTACTAGCCCCCTCCCCTAGGTGCCTATCTCCCCTAGCATCCCCTTGTTGGGAGCCTAGGCTCACAGCACTACCGAATGCTACTGTTTTCTGGAAGCCACAGCTGGGGAAGCCAGGAACTCCTGGCAGAGGCAGTGCCAGACAGTGGGCATTATTCCACAGCTGGCATGAGAGGATGCCAAGGGAGTGGCCAAGACTAGCTTGCTTAGTGCCCAGGGGATGCCCACAGGGCATGAAGTTTGCTGTTCTGACAGAACAACAACTCTTTATTGGGGTAGGGGTCCCCTGACATGTGCCTGTGCCTCCATTTTCCTTCATTCTAGGAAAACTGGAAGTGTCAGATGCGAGCTAGAGGGAGCATCTAAAAGAGTGGTCAGTAAGGTCAGAGTGAATACATCAGAAAGAAAGAAGTGGCAGAAGGAGATGAGGGACCAGGCCAGAAGCTGGGGCCAGACTGAAGAACACTGGGGGTACTGGCTGACGGGCCGTGACCCGGATGAAGCGCTGGGGCGTCTCTGTTCCCGTTACCAAGGCAACAGCTTACGAGCCCCACCGCCCCACCCCCTCCCCAGGCCCCAGCCCGGCCTCCACTCCCGTCGCCGCCACCGCCCCTGTTTTGTTTCCATAGCGACGGGCGGCGCGGGGCCGGCTCCAAACATAACGCGCTGTGGAAAACATGCGGCTCGGGGGACCCCCCCGCAGGCCTCGCTCCGGGAATGACCACGAGGGGCCCTCGAGCCATCCAGGCCACGTGCCGTTTTGCGAGAACCTGGAGGGTCGGCCAAGGCGCCTGAACACCCCCTCTCCTGGGCCTGCTATGCCTTCAGGAGTTCGGGGCTCCCCTCGGCCCAGGCGCTGTGACTCTCCGACGTGCTTGAGGCCAGCAACCCATCCCCCATTTGGCGACCGCCTCTGGTTCTGCTGGCGGTCGCCCTCCCTGGTTGCCTGTGGCCCCGCCCCCTGCCGGCTAGCGGCCTCTCGGGTCTTGAGAAGCTGCGCTTTCTCTGGGGCCAGAAGAACAGGAGGGGCGGCGGCAGGGGGCGGTTCTGCTCCGGGGACGGCCTTTGAGCGGCGGGAGGTGCTTCCGGGACAGAGGGCGGGCAAGATGGCGGCGCCCATGGAGCTGTTCTGCTGGTCGGGGGGCTGGGGGCTGCCGTCTGTGGACCTGGACAGCCTGACCGTGCTGGTGAGGAGTGACGCTGGCACCCTCTGTTGCGCTCTGGGTGACTAGGGAGGGGATCCGAACTAGCTGAGCATCCAAATTTTGCCGAGAAGCCTCAGCATGGGGTGCACTGGGGAAACTGAGGCCGACCAAGAGCAGATGTGGCAGATGTGGGCGCAGTGCACTGTGTCTTACCAGCCTAGGCTTCGTACAAAAATGCAGAGCGGCCTGTTCGGGGGTTCAGGAGATAGTTTCTCATCTTTACTTTGTCATTTAATGGTTGTGTGACCTTGGAGCGATCCCTTTTCGGGTGCTCTTCTTCATCCGAGGTTTACTAAGCTAGGCGATCTGAGGGATCTCCTGCGGCTTGACATTCCTGTCTTCTCCTCAGCCATCTTTTTCTCCTCCTCGCTAAACAGTATTGACAGAGCCTATTGTTTGTTATTAGGAATTCTGGTGGCACAGTGCCTAAGGCATTTGACTGCTAACCAGAAGGTTGATGGTTCAAACCCACCAGCCACTCCGCGGGAGGAAGACTGGACAATCTACTTCCATAAAGATTGACCACCTCAGAGACCCAGTGGGGGTTGCTGTTAGTCCCAGTCAACTGGATGGCAGTGAATTTGATTTTGGTTTGGTTTATTGTTTGTTAGACCAAAAGGCCCCCAGTCATGTTCGGTAGAAAGAGCTTTGGAATCAAAAACAGACAGGCTCACTTCATTCAGACATTCATTCTGTAAGCATGTGGTAGGTCTCTTCCCAATACCAAACACTGGCATGAAAAAATGAGTAAGAGTTGGCCCTTACTCTCCAGTTGTTTACAGTCTTGTAGGGAGAAGCAGGTATGTATGCAAATAAATGCAATAAATATTCAGTTGCCTCCAAAGGAAGGTTGGGCAATCTGCTTCTGTAGTGATACCACCTTGGAAACCCAAGGAGGGGTTGCTATGAGTCGGGTCCGACTCGACGGCACATAACAACAACAACAAATATAAGTAGGAACAGACTCTGGAAGAAGGATACTGCTTAGGAAAAGCTGCTGAGTATAGATGTTCACCAGGCAGATGGGAGGAGAGGAGATAGAAGCAACAGTTTTCCTGGCTGAAGGAGCAGTATTTGTACTCATGGACCTGTTCTATCTTTCTGAACCCTATGTTGTTCATTTGTATGATGGGAATAATCACACCTGTTTCTTTTTTGTGAGGCTAGTACTAAGCAAGGGAGCTCTGATGGCATAGTGCCTAAGGCATTTGACTGCTAAACAGAAGGCTGACGGTTCAAACCCACCAGCCACTCCTTGGAAGGAAGATTGGGCACAATCTACTTCCATAGAGATACTGTCTCAGAAACCCAAGAAGAGGTCTCTATGAGTCGGGATTGACTTGACAGCAATGAGTACTAAGGAAACAGTGTTGTATTTAAAGTATTCAGTAAATGTTATTTCTCTCTTTGATTCCTCTGTGGGGGCCATGTCCCTGGCCTCTCTGCCTTCTTTCCTTGCAGACCTATGCCAGATTTACTGGTGCCCCACTCAAGGTGCACAAGATCACCAACCCCTGGCGGAGCCCTTCAGGTACTCTGCATCCCCTGGGGGGTGAGGAAAGGTGCGAACAAAGGGAGGAGCAGGAGACATGCAGGGATGTGATGCAAATGTGTATTAATAGGCAGCTAAGGGTCTGGTGGCGTACTTCTCTCTTAATGTCAGGGACTCTGCCTGCCCTTCGTACCAGTCATGGAGAGGTCATCTCGATGCCACACAAAATCATCACCCACCTTCAAAAAGAGGTAGGTGGCTTGGGTAGGGAGGCTGCCAGTGAGGGAAGTTCAGTCAGTTCAGTATAGCACACATGTATTGAGCACTAGATATATGCCAAGCTAGACACCGATGACAGCACTTCAAGGAGCACACAGTCTCATGGAGGAGACACATAACTTTGGTGTGATATAATAAGCTATAGACCAGAGATTAAGCTCAAGGTGTTTGGGGGATGTTTGGAGGTACAGTGCCCTTCTGCCCACTGTACGAGAAGGGGGGGAGGCACAGGCTGATGACACATGGAAGGGACAGGAGAGTGGCAGAAAGTGGTTGGCTCAGATGAGGCCTTCAAAGGTGAGACAGGAGAGGGACCAGGTTGGGCTGTATTTGGGGCTCTGGATGGACACACCCTTGATGGGAAAATTGAAAGAGTATTCCAGGAGTGGGGAGGCCTAGGCTTTGCTCCTCACTCTTTCATTGACCATGTGACCTTAAGCAAATCACTTAATCTCAGAGCCATAAGCTTCTAGGGAATTTAGCTAGGATGCTTCCCAAAGGTTCTAGCATTCATGGTCTATCCAAGAAGGAACACGTTGCCAGAAGTGAGACCTTCTTCCTCATTTGAAAGGTGAAGGAGCTGAAGAGTTAATGGAAGCTTGAGAGCCGTGGAGAGGAGATTTCAGCTAAAAGTCAAGGACCCTGGCAGGGGCTGGAATGACTGCTCTGATTCCTCATATACGAAAATTGCTTTTCCAGTTTCTAGAGTTTTCTTTAAATTATTTCTAAAATAGCTACATTAAGGGGAGAAACTAGGCTCAGAAAGATTTTAGAATCATGCTCAAGAGGTTTATTTGGGGACAAAGCTTACTTCAGATGTGGAGGGGTGTGCTAAGGAACTGAGACTGGAGCCTGGGAAGGTAGGGCAGGCTGAGACCTGAGGTTAGGGGTAGAATGTGTGTGTGGTGGTGGCACCTGGACCATGGAATGCAATAGAAGAAATAGCCAAAAGCTGGGCATTGAGGGAGCTAGTCAGGGGGTCCTGGGCATGGGTCACTGGGTCCAGGGAGAGTGGAGATAGCGTCCCTTGGTTCCTGAGGCATGGACCAATGCCCAACCTGCATCTGAGCTTCACTCCACTAGCTTTGTGGTGCCTGGGTCTGGGAAGTTACCGTTAGAAAGTTGCTGTCAACAGGCATGCTGCCAGCTTTCCGTGGAAACTCTGGGAGCTACTCCTAGTTTGTGGCCTGGCCTTCCTTCCTCCCCCCAGTGGGTGAGGGACCTTGACAGCCAGTGGCCTCCAAGACCCGAGCTTTCTGCCAACAGCAACAGCTACTGGCTGGACCCAGGCATGGGGCTTTAATGGGATGAGCTCTTTGCTCTTTCTCCCCTACACTTGAGGCTGGTGGGGGGGTTACCATACAGGATGCCTACCTCCCTAAAGTGCCTCAGGAGTCTCCCAGTGTCCACTTCATGGGTATTTCTTCCACAGAAGTATAACGCCGATTATGACCTGTCAGCCCGGCAAAGGGCAGACACCCTGGCCTTCATGTCTCTTGTGGAAGAGAAGCTACTCCCGGTGCTGGTGAGTGTACCCGGACCTCCGAGTGCTCGTGGTCAGTAGGAGATGGGTCAGGCACTCAAACAGAAGCTCAGAACACCATGGGGGTCAGAGGCCCACCCTGAGCTAAGCAGGAATACTGGCTCAAGACTTGCCTCTTCCTTCCTGGCTATCCAATCCAGATACATACTTTTTGGGTAGATGCCAAGAACTATGTCGAAGTGACCCGGAAGTGGTATGCAGAAGCGATGCCCTTTCCCCTCAACTTCTTCCTGCCTGGCCGCATGCAGCGGCAATACATGGAGCGTTTGCAGCTGCTATGTGGGGAGCATAGGCCAGACAATGAAGAAGAGCTGGAGAAGGAGGTACCTCTGGGGCAGGGAACTTGTTGTAGAGATGAGCCCTGAAGTTACAGCCAGGAATGGGAGTGCCTAGGAGTGGGGTGACCCTGTGCCTGCAGCCCCAAGCCCACCTTGTGTCCTCCCCATAGTTGTACCGAGAAGCTCGGGAGTGCCTGACCCTTCTCTCTCAGCGCCTGGGTTCTCAGAAATTCTTTTTTGGAGATGCGTGAGTCTGATCTCCAGAGGGTTAATGGGTGGCCTGGGAGGAGATACATGTTTAGATGTAGCCACAGGGGCTAGGTGGGTTGAGGCCATTACAGGGCTCTGGATAAGAGGTCCTCAAGACAGACATTGGTCTGGTGACAGTGGGACTGTGTGTGAGGCTGAGCCTCCTTAGTGGTACAGGAGGGTGGGAGGGCAGCCAGGCACAGGAGGGGCCTGCAGGGCTGCAGGGCACTCAATGTGCCCTTTATGCAGTCCTGGGATAGAGCCGCATTCAGGGCCAGACTGGCGCCACCTGGGGAGCCCTTCCCACACCAGGTCCAGAACTGTGTGTCCTCTCCTCCCCTGATGACCCCCTGCTGCCCAGAACCCACCTCCCAGGGCCTAGACTCTTTCAACTCTCTCTGCCTGTCATCCTCCTCCATTCCACCCTCTCTCTCTACTCCAGCCCTGCCTCCCTGGATGCCTTTGTCTTTAGCTACTTGGGCCTGCTGCTTCAGGCTAAGCTGCCCAGCGGGAAGCTACAGGCCCACCTTCGGGGGCTGCACAACCTCTGTGCCTATTGCAGCCACATTCTCAGCCTCTACTTCCCTTGGGAAGGAGGTAAGGGGCAGGTGGGTGGATGAAGACCAGCCCTAAGGAGAGTGGGCAGGGATCCAGGAACCAGCCTCCGTGCCCACTTCCCTTCCTTGCCCCTCAGCTGAGGTGCCACCTCCACGCCCAGCACCAGCCGGCTCAGAAACTGAGGAGGAGCCATACCGGCGCCGGAACCAAATCCTGTCCGTGCTAGCGGGACTGGCAGCTATGGTGGCCTACGCCTTGCTCAGTGGCATTGTCTCCATCCAGCGGGCAACACCTGCCCGGGCCCCAGGCTCCCAGGCCCTAAGCATGGCTGAGGAGGATGAAGAGGAATGAGTTGTCCCCATTTCCCAGGACTGATTTTTCTACTGTCATGCATTCCAGAGGCCACATGCCTCCCTGTTGTCAGCACAGCCAGATAAGGGGTACTACTCCCCAGAATAAACCTGCTTACTGACTGAGATCAGACAGTCTCTGCTTTAAGGGGCCTCCATTTGGCCTTGCTGGTGCCATGGGGTCATCTGGGGGGCCTGAGCCTACCCACTGTACTGGGCTTCTGGACCTCCTGTGCCCTGATGCTTGTAGTGCCTCCCCAAGGGCCATCTGCATCTCCAGGAAAGACAAGCAGGGCCAGTTTTGGGTCAGCTTTCCTAGTCTCTTCCTTTCCTTAACCTCCGCCTGCTCCCCCATCCTGTGTTTGTACAGTGAGCTCACCCTGGTCCTGGGCCCAGTTTCCACAGACAACCAGCACATAGCACACGCTCACACAAGCATGGGGGGCAGGAGGCCACTGGGGCTTCCTGATCCTCTTTCTAGGGGCCTCCAGCCCCTGGCACCAACTAGAGGGGGAAGTGAGTCATCCAAACCACTGTTTGTGGGCTTACATCACCATAAGCTCTCCTTGGCCCTGCTGTGCCCTCTTTAGTCACAGATAGCATGTGAATTGTCTCTGTCCTTTTAATGTCCAAGCTGAACCCAGGTGCCTGTGGCTTGGGTATCAGATCCATCACTGGCAACGCCACAGGTAGGTATGAATGGAGTAGCCAGGTGCCATAGTCTCCAGGAAGCCCACGGCAGGATCCTCAATGGTGAGAGGCACATCCTTAGAGGAGCTGGAGGGCGGGGGAGGAGAAGCTGAGTGTGTGATCTTGCCAGGCCTGGTCCCCTGCCACAGCCCCCGGGGTTGCTCAAGCAGCTTCACCCCCAGGCCCCCAGCCCCTGCTACTGCTCTCACCGGTTTAACACAACTACAACTGCAGAGCCATCAGGTCGCATCAGTGCCACTGTGTCCAAGTCATTCTTCTCACTGGCAACCAGCCCCACTCTCTGGGATCCCTCAGGAATGAACTTGCTGGATGTAGGGACAGGCATCATCAGGGACCCTGGCCAGCCCCTCCTGGCCTCAGGGCAGCTCCCTTCGCACCCTTTCCACCCCACCCCACGGCCCCTGTCAGAACTCTGCCATAAATCTCGAGGCCTTGAGCCATGGTGCTGGGCACTGGCCCTGCCCTCCTGCAGCCCAGTCCCAGCACTGGGCATTCAGGGATCATCCATATCTCTGATGCCACCGAGTCACTTCCTGCCTAGATGGTGCAAGAGGGGACGGGCGTGCCCCTCCCAAGGTTCACATCCTGAACACCTTCCTGCTCCCTGTGTGGTGATGTAAGCGTGCTACAGGGGATGACAGGCCTGGTGTGGAATGGGGGTGCCTGCCCTCACTCACCTGAAGTGCCCAAGGTGGTAGAACATAGGCTGTTTGTAAAATGTGTCCCTGGTGATGTCCACAATGATGGGGCTATCAACAAAATTGCGCACCCAGTTGGGTCCCCCTTCAGGGTTCAGGGCAAGATTCCAGTCAGTCCAGCCAACCACGTAGTAGAGAAGGTTCTATGGTGGGGACAAAGTAGACAAAGGCTCAACCCTGGGGTCCCCAGAGCATGTAGTTGAGGGTCACATGAGGGAGAGAGAGAGAGGCACAATGGGTGGCTCAGGTCTGTGAGAGGGACACTGATAGCAAGACCTTGGGAGGAGATGGCGAGTGTAAGGATGGAGGCACCCTAAGCTGAGAACTCTGAAGCAGACGCAGCTGCCTGAGACCCGAGCAGGTGGAAAGAGAATTATGAGGTATGCAGATCTGTGAAGGGAAGGCAAGCTGGGGAATTCTGGTATCCCAAAATTTGCCCCAAAAAGTGGCTGGGGAAAAGATGGAGAGGAAAACCTGTCAGGCTGCTGTGAGACTAGGAAGGCGTCCGAGATGGTCTGGGATGTGCAGAGACTCGGGTGGCTCACCGTGATGATGCTGTGGCTGTACTGCATCCCTCGGTCCCAGGAGCCTAGCCGCACACTCTGTTCCCAAAACTTAGAGCCCACACAGGCTTCTGAGGCAAAGAGCATGGTGTTGGGAAATAGGCGGTGTGTCTCACCCAGGGTGGCCTTTGCTGGGGCCAGAAAGTCCAGGTACCAGTGCACAGCAATACCATGAACATACTTAGCTGCCTCTGGGTCTGCCAGTACCTGTAGCAGAAGGGAAAGGACAACTGGGGAAGGGGAGCCACTAAACTTGGATCCCGAATAGCAGGTCCTGGGAGAAACTAGGGAGCCTGAGAAATGGGTGGTAAGTTGAATACAATTAGAGGTGCTCATAGTGACAACCAAGTAGATGGCCCTGAAAGTCTAGAGGGGGTGGTGGCCTGGGCACATGGACACGGATGCTCTAGGAATCATGTGTTAGCAGGGAAGGTACTCCAAGTGTGGGGAGCCAGTCATTTGGATGCTGGACTAGAGTCACGAAGGTACTCATGGAAGTACTGGGCCTTACCACCTGGGCCCAGTGGGGCAGCAGCAGGCGTTGGTCATCCAACATGAGCAGATGGACATCACGGTGAGTACTATTGGCGAGGGTGGGACCCAGGTCACGGGCGATGAAATCTCGCTGGTGTTCAGGAGTGAAGCCCAGGCACTGGAAGGGGTAACCACTAAACAGCCCTGCAGTAGGCTCATTCTCAGCTGTCACAGCCCAGAATCGTAAATTATGCTCAGCGTAGGCATCCAGGAACCTGGCAGTGGGAAAGGGTGTGAGGGAACTCAGCTGAGAAAGGGGACCAAGACCTTGGGGGATGGGAGGCCCAATGGGATGGGGTAAAACTAAGGAACTCAAAATTAAGGGCCCTGAATGTGAAAGGCCCAGAAAGTTGAGACATGAGTTGAGGATGGTCAGCTCTGGAGGTGGAATCAGGTCAAGGGTTGGGATATAGACCAAGGTGTCCAAGAGCAGGGCTGGTCTAGACTCCCAAAGCCTTGCTACTCCCTTACTTGACAAAGTATCTGGCCCAGGTCTGGTGGTAGATATCCCCTGGCTGACCCTTGAGTGACCCCTTCCCATTCACTGCCCCATTGGTCTTGAGCCAAGTAGGTGATGTCCAGGGACTGGCAAAGAGTGAGATGGGGCGTCGGGTCATTTCCAGGACTCGGTGAATCAGGGGTATCTAGAGACAGAAGTAGGGAGCAGAGAGACACCCGAAGTTGGAACATAGAAAGACTGGCCCAACCAGTGCATCAGGCCCGGCCATCAGTCCCCACCCTCCCACCCCTAAGACAAAACAGAAAGCAGGGGCCAGATTCTACATCCCTCTGCAGACTGCCTTAACCTGAGGCTTCTCAATCCCAGGTGTCAATGTCATCAAGCGCCCACCTTGAGCTTGGTATCTTCATCTGGGAGGCTGAAGTTGTACAACTGGAAATCATCAGGGATGTCAGCATAGGTGTAGGTACGGATGGAAAAGTCACAGCTGGCCATGGGTACCCGGATGATGTTGTATTCTATTCCTGCAGAAAAGTATGACCAAAATATGGGAGTCAGTCAATAGGAGAATATGAGTACGCAACATACTACTTGTTGGTCCTAAATGTCTGAGCCAGGGCCAAAGGAAACTTGGTCTCCTGGGTTGAGCTCTGTAGATCCAGGCACCTGATGAAGCACAGGCTTTTGAACCTAAGAGGCCTCAAGCACTTAGCATAAGATGGATAGGTAGTGCTGGGCGAAAGTCAGGGATGGGTAGAAGTCAGGCTCATAGAAAAGTGTCAATTGCCCTATGCCATCTTGGCCCCCTTCTCCTCACCTTCTTCAGAGAAGTATGATTTGAGAAGCAAATTCTGTGCAGGTGGTGAGAGGGCAAGGATGTTGAGAGCAGCAGCATCTGTCATGGCCCCTCCAAATCCCTTCACTTTCTGGTATTTCTTTTCTGGCTGCAAGGTCAGTAGCAGCCCTGAGGACATCCACAGGGAATAAAGGGTGAGAAATTCCATAGTGATCACTGACATGATTTAGCTCCAGGAAGATCTCAGCTGGACTTCAGGGGTGAAGGGTGTAGTGGTTACCTTTACTTGTACGACTTGTCTGGATGGTCCCCATACTCAGCTCCATCCGACGCCCACTACGTGTGCTCTCATAGAGGCTAAAGGTGCCACGGGCAGGAAGTGTCAGGGGGTCAAGAGAGTCACAGTACGTGGCATTGCAGACACAGACCACTGAGCTATAGCCAAAGCTTTGAGGGATGCAGGGGTGAGCACCTGGGAAGGAGGAAATACAAGCAGAGGCAAGGACTGAAGAATGAGGCCTGAGAGAATGGGCACACTGCTTGGAAAGAGACTGCAGACAGGTGTCAAAAATCCTCTCACGGTACCCCCACCCCAAGGTTGGTGTCTATCATTCAAAAGGATTTACTGAGAACCTACTGAAGTCCACCACCAGTATACCAGAAGGCTACCAGAAGACTATAAGGCAAAAAGGAGCATTAGTATTCCCTCTTCCCTCCTTGATTCACTTACCTGATGCCCATGATATTGCCTGAAGTAGAAGCAATCCCGTGAGGCTGACAGCCACGATGCCCATCCTACCCAGGTGCTTGGGACATTCCTGAGAACAAAGTGAGGAGTGGGTAGAAGGCAAGCCCCTTCTACACCTCTCAACTACTTTCCTGGGCAGGGCTTGGCTGCCTGTGGGTGCCCACAGCTTGGTCGCCCACTTTTACTAGGGTGGGACAAGGCCCATAGGCACTTGAGTGCAGCCCTCCCTCCAAACCCTACAGTTCACATCTACTGGTGATAGCTCTTGGCCCACCCCAACAGGGATCCTCCTTCACCTCTTCTTCCCATCCATTTTTCCCTCCACCTCTCTACCCCTTCATTTGCCTCTGGCTCTAAAGGACAGGATGACCTGAATTTGAGGAGAGTCTATCTTCTGTAATTGAATTCCAGAGCCTGGGTGCCTAGGATTCTGGAAGTAGCATGATAAGACTGATTGCGATCCTGGGTCCACTCACCTCTCTGGAAAGACTTGAAAGCTCCATCTCTTCGGGTTCACTGGATGGGTAGAAGAAAAAGACACCGGGATGGAAATACCTGCAGTAACTATAGACACTGGGGTTAGCCCTGCGGGTTAATTCCGGCTTCACGGAGTGGCTGGGTCATGTGATGACTACAGGAGAGTCACATGATACAGGAAGTGAGACAATTGCAGCCATATTTGTAAAGGGCGATTCGTTCCTTCTGGTTGATGACGATTATAACTGGTTGCTGTCAGTCGATTGTGACTCTTGATGACCCTGTGTATGTCAGAGTATTAATGTACTCCATAGGGTTTCCAGTGGCTGAATTTTTGGAAGTAGATCTCCAGGCCTTTCTTTCCGGGTGCCTCTGAGTGGCCTTCAAACCTCTAACCTGTTGGTTTGCAGCACTTTAACCCTTTGTACCACCCAGGGGTTCTTATGGGATTATACACCCTATGAAACTCTAGAAGTGTGGATGAGAACTTCAGGAACATGCCAGGACAGAGATCTGAACGGAGGATTAGGTAGAAACTCCCAAATCCCAGAGGATGGGGAACACAGCAGGCACAATGGTTTCTTGAGAAAAAAATTTAAAGCATAATACTAACAAAAGAGTTCATTATGCAAACTACTGAAGCAGAACTAGATTATGCAAATCCGACTCGATGGCAAAACAACAACAACAACAACAACAACTTCAGAGAAGATTAATACAGCTTTGCCCTACAGAGACCCAAGAGGGGGGTCAGACATTTACACAGATAATTAAAGACAAAAACAGTAACAAGTGTGCACGGAGAGCTCTCTGAGACAAGGAGGGACCCTTCATGGATGGGTAGTTATCCAGGTAGTTATCCAGGAAGGCTTCATGGATGAGGGATGAGGGAAGGCCATGCAGGAGATTCTTAATGAAGTACGAGGAAATGGGACCTGGACCATGGGGCATGTCTTAGTGATCTAACCAAAAAAGCAAAACAAAATCCATTGCCATCAAGTTGATCCCGACTCATAGTGACCCCCATTGAGAAAGTAGATTGCTGGTCTTTCTTCTGCAAAGTGGCTGGTGGGTTTGGACCGCCAACCTTCTGGTTAGCAGTCAAATGCTTTAGGCATTATGCCACCAGAGCTCCTTGTCCTACTGATCTAGTATTGGTGTAACTGAAATGCCACAAGTGGGTGGCTTTAACACATCAAAATGTACTTTCTTATAGTTTAGGAGGCTAGGAGTCTAATTCAGGGCTCCAACTCCAGGAGAAGGCTTTAGCCTCTGTTGCTTCTGGGGGAAGGTCTTTGTCTCTTTTCAGTTTCTGTTCCTTGGCTCCTTGGAATGTTCATGTGGTGTGGCATCTATTTTCCCCCATCTCTACTTGCTTCTCAGTGCCTATGTCTCAAAAGTGATTGAGTTAACACAATCCTGCACCGATAGTGCCTTATTAACATAACAAATAAAACCCATTCCCAAATGAGATTATAACCACAGGTCCAGGGTTTGGAATTTATAATACATATTTTTTGCGGGTACACCATTCAGTCCATAACAGGTAGCAAGATTAAAGGGAGGAATCGTCAACATTTCCCTTCTCTGTCTCCCTTCCCATCATCAGATGCAGATTATAATAACTGTTCTTCCCTTCTCACAGGACAGGGAGGTTGTGTAAAGTAGTGCAGAAACTGAAAAGTGTTGTACAGAATTATAATCTCAGTGCATGTGAGAAGGAGGTTGTCCATGATGTTGCTTCATGGACTGCATCAAACATGATTGAATGGGAGTGACACACACAATTATCACCTGACTAACTGAACCTATTTCCTCACTTGTAAAATGGAGGAAATAACACACTGACTTTACAGGGTCATAACTGGAATTGGTGCAATAAGTACAGTGCCTGGTTCCTGGGAGGTGCTCGGGAACTGCTTGTTTGTTATTCCCTGTGTTTCTTTAAAATCGTCTCAGTGAAGTCTTTCCGGACACACCCCAGCCAAAATTGATCATTTCTGGTTCAAGATTCCTACAGTACTTAACTATCGGCTCAGGGAGACAAGTTGGGTTTGAATCCTGACTCCATCATTTACTGACTGTTTGACTTTCAGTAAATAACTTAATCATTTTAAACCACTGTTTCCATCTATAAAAGAGGAGTGATAACTCCTACCTCATAGAGTTGGTGTGAAGTTTAAATGTGGCAATGTAGGTGTCTACTATACTGCTTCCGGTCCCTGGGTGTCTAGTTTTCCACTCCTTGCCAAAAAGGAGCCCTGGTAACTGAAACATTGGCAGTTGGAACCCACCCAGCGGCTTCGCAGGAGAAAGTCCTGACAATCTGCTTCTGTAAAGATTACAGCCAAGAAATCCCTATGGGGGCTGTGTACGCACAGGGAGACAGCTCGGGGGGCAGTAGTGCATGGTGGGAAGGACACAGGAAAGAGGTAACTATGGGGAGGACGGGGGGAGGAGAGCTGTTGCATTGTGGGAAATTGTAGTCAATGTCATGAGACAAAGTGTATGTGAGCTGCTGTGTGGAAGATGAATTTGCTCTGTAAACTTTCACCCAAATCACAATAAAATTTTTTAAAAAGAAATAAAAATTACTTTGAAGCAAAAAAAAAAAAAGGAAAGAAAGAAATCCCTATGGGGCACTGCTACTCTGTCCCTTGGTGCTATGAGACAAAATTAACTAGACAGTACCTAACAACTAGCCAAATGTTGGTGGTTCAAACCCACCCAGAGCTGCCTCAGACAACAGCCTGGCAATCTGCTTTGGAAAGGTCATAGCCATGAACACCCTATGGGGCAGTCCTACTCTGCCCACATGGGGTCACCGTGAATCAGAATCAACTTGAAGGCAACTAACAACAACAACAGCACATTGCTCAGCACCAAAGCTCAGCAGGAAATCAGGTCTATGTTTATGTGAGACCCTCGTAGTTCCTGGAGGCTATGTCTTACTCATTGTTGTTGTTGTTGTTGTTATGTGCCGTCGAGTCGCCCGCCCCGACTCATAGCGACCCCTCCTTGGGTTTCCGAGGCAGTATCACTACGGAAGTAGGATTGCCCAACCTTCCTTCCGAGGAGTGGCTGGTGGGTTTGAACCACCAGCCGTCTGGTTAGCAGGCAAGTGTCTTAGCCACTATGCTACCAGAGCTCCCTCTATCCTGATAGATTGCCTGGCACAGTGTGGGTAGGTGCTAAATTGGTGACTAAATTGAACTACTAGCATTACTATGTCAATATCCACCCCATCCAGACTTCCTGTTTTTCCAGGAAATGTTGCTCAGGAATTGTTCTGGAGAGGCAGGCAGGTGATATATAGCACCTTACTTCCCTCTATCTCATTCATTCCGCAAATATTTATTGAGCACACACTGTAGTTGCCCCTATCTTCTCAATTGGCTTAGCACCACACCCCACCCCATCCCAGGCTTCTCCGCCAGTTTCCCTCTGCAGGCGTAAAGTTTTAAGAGTCTCTTGTTTCTTCTTTTTATCCCTTAGTTTGTAAATTTTTTTTTTAGGGCAGATACCATCTCATCTTCCAAATTTCTCTCACAATGTGATTTGCTTTGAGGTTTCAAAATAAGGCCTAACTGTGTTGAATGCTCACTCTGTGCCACTTTATGTGCACTGGTATGTTTCATTCTCACAAAACCCATTGCCACGTAACATACTACACAACATACATAACATACTACACAAAACATTGTTCCACATCCTACTTTGGCGAGTAGCCACTGGGATCTTAAAAGCTTGCAAGCAGCCATCTAGATGCAACAATGGGTCTTTTCTCATCCAGTGCAAACAAGAATGAAGAAAACCAAAGATGTGTGGAAACAATTAGTACACTGTGTGATCCTCAGACTATATGATGACGAGACCAGAAGAACTAGATGGTGCCTGGCTACCATTGTCAACCACTCGGAGGGGGATCTATGTAGGAGATCCTGGATTGAGTGGAAGAACAATATGGAACAAAACTCAAAATCATTGAGAAAAAAAAGGACCAGATTTGCTGATCTGATAGAGCCTGATGGAACCTCTGAGACTATGGCCCCTAGCTGTCTTTCAGGTCTGGAATTGAACTCACTCCTACAGCTTCCAGCCAAACAAAAGACAGGCATAGGAGCTGAACATTTACATTAGGGAGATACACACCTTGGAGAGATTAATTGTGGCAGAATAGGAGGGCTGTGTATGCACAGGGAGATAGCTCAGGGGGCAGGAGTGCATGGGAGGGAAGGACACAGGGAAGAAGTAACTATGGGGAGGAAGTGTGAAGGGAGCTGTTGCATTGTGGGAAATCACAGTGTTATGAGACAAACTGTATGTGAACTGTTATGTAGAAAATGAATTTGCTCTGTAAACTTTCACCCAAATCACAATAAAAAATTAAAAAAAAAAAAAAAAAAGCCATTGCCAGCAATTCTTTCTCATAACGACCCTATTGAACACAGTAGAATTGCTCCATAGGGTTTCCAAAGCTGTAACCTCTAAGGAAGCAGAGTGCCACATCTTTCTCCTGTGGACCTTTCAGTTAGCAGCCACGTGCTTAACTAGGGGACTGTTAATTCTCACAAGGCATATATTACTATCATCCCCATTTTAGAGATGAAGAACTTGGACTCTGACAAGTCGTTAAATATCCCAAATTCCCTTGGGTACTCAGTGGTGAAGCCTGGACTCATATCCAAAGTCCTATGGCACACATAGGCTGTTTATTAAGTGCCTCCAGTGTGCCATATGCTATGCTTTGTTATTGTAGTTTTGTGCTGTCACGTCTATGCTCTGGTTATTTTCAAAATTTGTTTTGTACAGTTTTAAACACGTCCCTTGTTTTGTTTGTAGTGCTCAATCTGACAAATACAAGTTAACTTCTGGAATGCTGACTACATAGTAACACATCTGGATCCCTATTCTCCAAAGGCATGGGTCTGGGTCAATAGACACTGCATCTGTAATGGAACAAAATCTAGAACGTCCAGTAGGGGAAAAAATGATCTGTAGCTGGGGAGGTACCATTTATAAGAAATGTCCAGAACACATCTATGGAGA